TACAAGTTAGAAAAGCACCACAAATTGTCTGTTATCTTGGTGGGGCAGGGCATACTATCTATTGCCACTAGATGGCACCTAAATTCAAATGTAAGATGAAATTATTTGAAAGTTTATACTACTCGAGGCAAAATGTGTTACTTTGCTGCAAGTTTTTAACCATTCAATCGCTGTATGTCTGATTGCACCACCTGACTAATTTTAGATAATCAGATATTAACTTAAATTTTTTAAATCCAAAAGCAAATTATCAATGTGTGTATGCATATATGTGTGTGTGTATGCATATATGTGTGTGTGTGTGTATGTACCCCCTCCTCCCTCTCTCTCTATATATATATTTTCTTTTTTTTTTTTCTATCCAACCCCCAATCTTCTTTCTTATCTGAGGTAAACGGGAATTTCCATGTGTATAGCAGTGATGGGACTGAGAGCCCTGACTCCGTTGTTGAAATCTAAAGTGAACTGTCTTTCTTTTCACCTCTGTTATTGTGGTGAGGCTACATCTCCTAACCTTATCCAAATGGATTCTTCTATCCTTTACTTTGAACCTGGAATAAAAGAAGCCAAGATGAAGGAAGGTCTGGTTAAAATTCCTTTGTGTTGGAGTCTGTGAGCAGCTATGGGAGAGTCCAATACCTTCCAATAAATCTCCACTGGGCTTGAGACAGCTAGTGTTTGTTTCTCTTGCTTGCAACCAATATCCTTGTATAATATGAGAAATTACTTTTGACCCACCCTTGTGGGAAATATGTTATGACCAGAACAAGCTAATAATTCTGGACATGGCAGTACCGCTAAGTGATTAAAACATGTCTTCTGAATTATTTGAAAAATAATCACTTGACCTCAAAAGTAGTGATTTAAAAGAAAAATAATGTAATTGCAAATGTAGAATCCATTTCAATATTGTTCCATATTACTTCTTAGTTCATAAAATGGATATGATTATTTTGTTTACAGTCTCTTTTAAAAATATTTCTGCAACATCAGCAGTCCAAAACTTTAGCATGGACTATATCCAAATTTTAAAATTCACTTTAAGTATAAATACTGCCTGTATATCTCCCCCATTATTATTCTCAGACTTTTAAAATGGAATCATCAACAGTATATATAACAAACCCACGTCTATTCTTTAATCTGGCAGGATGATAAACCTTCAATGAGCAATTTGATGATGTCAATCAGCTAAAATAAAATAAGATTTCAACATTCCCAAATACTTAATTTTAAATTTCCTTTTAAAATTATATTTTTATTACACTTCAAAATAAAATATTTGTTTTTGTTCTCAGGAAAATATGACATATATGAGATTATCATGACAAATAGAAATATTAATAATAAAGTCATTAATTAATAATCATAAGAATGCTATCCTAGTTGATCTTGGTCTCAACCAGTGATTCTCAACAGGACAATTCTCACTCCTACCCCCCAGGTAGGGTTTCCAGAGTTTGCAAATCAAAATACACATTCAGTTAAATTTGAATTATTTCTAATTTCCTATGCACATTTTGAGAGAAATGGAAAAGTATGTACAAAACATTCTTACTCTTAAAATTTATTAATTTTTTATCTAAAATAATGATCAATATCTAAATTACATACTTCTTTTCTGAGTATCTCCTTCATGATACAGCTTTCATTAATAGCTCCTTATTTTACAGAATTTGTTCATAAAATTCCTTGCAGTTAGACTCTATGTTCTATTTACAATGTAACATGACTTCCACAGTGGTCACATCCAACTTATCTCATTCTTTCATCAACTGAACAATCATTAATGAGAAAATGTGTTTAAAACCAGCCTTACAATTTGGGATTCTGAATATGTACTGTCATAGAGTTAACAATTCTGGGACTTGCTCTTTTGCTGAAGGACACAATATCATCTTTCATGACATAAATTGTGCTTTATTCTCTAGGATTAGGTTGTATCACTCAATCTACAGCTTTTTAAGATATTGTCCACCAACAAAAAAGAATGTTCTGAACTTTTATTCTCTTCTGCTTTGAGTACATAAAATAAATCTACTTGTTCCATCCCTGAAAAGTATTCACCAACATAAATATTAAAGAACCAAATTCTACAAGAAATAAAATCCATTTCAATACAGTCATGATAAATATCATAATAATCATCTACTTTAAGATAGATTTTTCCCGTGGTCCTAAGTTATGTTGTTCCTTTTAAAGCAGCCTTGGCATATAAGGGAGGGCAATAACAATCTTCACTCTTCTTTCAAATTGCATAATTCTATTGCTAAAGACATATGTAAAGGTATGAAAAAGATATAAATAGGCTTCACTCAATGGGCTATTTAAAAAGTCAGCAAAGATTTGAGGGGCCTTTTCTTCAGAATTAAAGTATGATTTCAGTGCTTTGAATTAAGTGAGGATCCTCTCATTACATTTGTTACAGAAAGACAATGACTTTTAAAATGTGAGAGAACTGAAAAATACTGAATGCAAACAAGTATAAAAGTATAAAAATTCTTCAACAGTTCACTTGGAGCAGAGTAAATGCTGAAATAAGAGACAAGTTTCATGACAATTATTTTATTGTCAACATAAAGGACATGTGATGCTGTTTGAGTAGGATAATGTAGAATATGGGCAAAGCACCAACGCTGACCATAGCCTCATTTATGCTTTGCTTTAACTCTGAGTAAACATTGCAACTTTATGTAAATACTCATCAAATTTATATTTGTATTATTGGCACAAAAAGAAGCATAATTTTTCTAATTACTAACTCAATGAGAGTCTGTAAAAATTTGCTGAAGTCTCATCTGGAAGGGATGTTACTCACAATAGACTTGTAAGCAAGTCTTTTTTCATGAGAAAAATATTATACAAGTAAGGAATTTTTTTTCCAAATTATGATTACTAGTATTCATGGCTATGCCATAAAAAGGTAAAACATTTAAGCTGTAATAATCTCTGTAATAGTAAATGGAGGTATTATATTTATTATTATTGCAGTAGATTTTGTCCTATAGCATTTGCAAATTTACTTATAATGTTGCATAAAAAAATACTTGTGGTAGCAATATAATCAGTCCTTAGAGTTTAAAGCCTGGTAATGATATACGAGGTAGAAGGTAACTTCTGCTGCAATTATTTTATCTTCTTCATCTGAATTTATTTCAATAAAAATGTTATTTTATTGTACAAGTTCTTTTGTACAAGTTGAGGAAATCGTCCATCTCTTATGCTTAGCTATTAGTATATGCTGGCTTATATCTGACTTTCTACTTTTTTCAGTATTGAATACACAATTGCATACTGCACAGAGAGTTTTGAGAGGTGATTTTCTTTGCTTAGTGCATATCCATTGTTTATAAAACTTATCATGAAATTTACATTGCATTTTGACACTCTGGAGTTTACTTATTTGCAAATGAAAAATAGATAATAGCAATTGACACAGTAATTGAAAAGACTGAATTTGGTCATCTCACAAGCTTTGTCACTGCTTTGGTCACTTATAGTTATAAGTGAGTTTAAGTGAGTTATAAGTGAGTTTACATTTATGAGTTTGGTCCAAACTCATAATTAAACAAGTGTTGAACCATTGAAAGAGCTGCAAACTTGTGAACTAACAATAAATTGAACTTAATACCTGATGCGAAATTGTAAACTTCCTGTTTGTCAGCATGGAAGAACTGGACTTGTGAGGTACAATCTCCTGGAACGAAGCTAGAGCTGATGATATGATGTATGGTTTGGGAAAGCAGGTGGGATTGCTTAGGGATTGATGGACTTCCAACTGTGTTAGTGTGGACCAAGGGGTAAGAGTGCAGTTAACCCTTGAAATTTCAGAAACATAGTCACTAGAGTGAGGCACCTACGGATTGGCTGTTCTCTAGAACTATGGTGGCTATTACTGATTGGCTGATGTTTAGGACTGAGGCTCTATCATTAGCCCACTTTCAAAAGCTTGGGGCTGTCACTGACTTATTAACTTTCAGAATCATAGTTACTGGAGTGAGGCTGTTACTTTAAGGGCTTATTTTCAGAAACATGGCCACTGGAGTGAGGGCATCACCAATTGGTTGATTTTTGGAACATGTGTACTGATCCTAAGCTATGCTCATTAATGATGGTTATCTGTTCATGACTTGAAACTTGGGCTAAAAAAGTCTTTTTCCTCCTTGAATATGGAAAATGAAGTCTATGGAGTACTTGGCCCACTCTAACAAGGATACTAGTGAGGAACCAGAGCTTGCCTGCCGATATAATAGTAGGCCCAAACGTTGTCCTTCTCTGAGAGTCTTTTCAGAAATCTTGCAGCAATCCATGCAGTAAAGAACCTCTATATAAATACAAGGAGATAAGGTCCACATTCAACAGGTGTGGCAGTCGCCCTGTTTAAAAGCTGCATGTCTCACATGAGCCAATATCAATTGTAACTACTCTCTATGAAAGGGGCGTGCCTACTTAAAGAGTCACTGCATTATAGGAGTTCCAAAGTAAGATGATACCATCAAGCCTTTATAGCTCTCCTACTCCAGACAGGGTCTATCAACCAGGGCTCAATTTTTCTTTTTGTTTCAGTATTCCTTATATTCAAATTAAACTCGACACTACTATTACAACCTGTCTAAATCATGTGTATACAAATAGCACTATACTCACACCATTTGTTGGTTGCTCCTCTCTACATAAATTTCATTTTTAAACTTCTTATTTTGAGCTAATTTTAGACATAGAGAAAAGGAGTAAAAATAGTATAAAAAATTCACTTACACCCCTACCCCATTTCCCATGTTAGCAATTATATAACCATAGTATAATTATCAATACAAGTGTCATGACTTTGACACTTTTTAAGAATATTGTTCAGTTATTTTGTAGAATGCCCCTCAATTTGGGTTTGTCCAATTATTCATGTTTGGAGTAAGGTTATGCATTTTTGGTTGGAATACTACAAAAAAGATGTATCCTTCTCAGTGTATTATATAAAATGTCCACATGTCTTATTACTGCAGATATTTACCTTGACAACTTGATTTAGTTGAGGACTGCCAAATTTCTCCACTATCAAGTTACTAGCTTTCTCTTCGTTGTTAATAAGTAAGTATCTTGGGGGAAGATAACTTGAGACATGTAAAACCAGTTTCTCCTGGAACTTTTGCCCATGAATTTTAGCATCCATAAGTGGATCTTATCTGCAATAGTTGTTACTGTGGTGTTTGCTTACTGGTGACCCTCTATATCTCAGAAGCCATTGTTAACATAAGCAATGTGGCTTTAGTAATATCATTGACTCATATCATCTTTATCTGTTTCCAAGGAAACGGAGCTAAGAAGTCAACTGAAGGAGAACAGGAAACAGAATAATTGTTAACCTTTTGTCCACAGGCATTTGAGGCTTTATAGAGTACAGAGCAGATTATGATACACAAATGCAAGTATAGGAGAAAGGGAGAAATGGAGAGGAATGAAAAGTTTCTAATCTGGAACCCAGGGGACAGTGGAGAGAGATGCATCCAATGTATTTTTTCTGATGGAAAAAAATTGTATTTCTATAGTTTTTCTCTTTATAGGAATCAGTAACAATCCTTGAAGTGAAGCAGGGGTTAGAAGGTAAGAATGCTTACCTTTTGGCCCTTTTTATTTCCCTGTCTCTTCCCTCAGAACACTATATTTACTCCTACGTCTTTCAGCTAAAATGTTTTCTTGGGAACCTGTTCTTTTCTGTGGAAGCACTCATCACACTTTCACTTATTTGTTTAAAGTTAGTCATCTTGGCAACATGGTAATCTCTGTGAGGCGGTGACCAAGTCTGTTTAGTTTGCAATATATATAGCACAATGCTCGGAATATAATGTTGATACCCATTAAATACTTACTAAATAAGTGAAACAGAATGGTTCTATAGTATTCTTTGTATGCTACTCCATGTACATTAAGGGTTAAATGAGCTTCCATGGTTCAGTTATGGAAACACTACATATTCCTTACACAAGAATATATTCTGAATTCCTAACAAATGCCTTATAAATGAACTTCCATAATGTAACCCAATAGCATATTTCTGACAAGCCTTTTCCTTTCTATGAATAAAACTTAAAATAGAAAATGTCCAGATGTAAACTATCTTATTTGATCTGATCTATGTAGATGTAATAATATTTATACTCTAATGTTCATTTTAAAGAAGCAAAGTACAAAACACCACATGACTTAGTTAATAAAGACCATCATAATGCAGTAGGAAGAGGAGCAGTGTAAACAATAAGAAACTCATATTCATGTCCTGGCTCTTAGACTCTGAGTCGTTCACCTAGTTTACCCCAGTGCCAGTTACGTCACTTAGAAAATACAGAATTTTGATGATGATCTTTAAAGTGCTTTTCTGGTCCAAAAATTTTATTTAAATCCCTCTATTTTTTCTGAATTTGTGATACTACCAGAATTTGTTTAACTTGTTTTCGAATAAAAAGCACAGTGTTTATAAAAGATTATTTAATAAACCCTTCTGTATTATTGGGTAATGAGGACTGCTTTTTGAGGGAAAAAAAAAGCAGAAAGTAAACAAAAAAAAAAAACCAAAAAAAAAACAAAAACCTGTAATTGGCCTGTTACTGGAACAAAAGAAGAAAGGCTTGTGTTCTATATCCATTCTTACTTTCTTTCTTTGTAAGAGAAATCTGCCCAGTTGAAAAACTACATTACCCAGTTTTCCTCACAGGTAGGTGTGTGACTAGCACTGGCTACAGAAATGTGAGAAGTGTTGCCTGGAACTTCCTTGCAGACACCTGAAAAGGGAGAAGGTGAGTCTTCCCTTCTTTCTGTTGCCTTAAATTTGGATATTAGCACTCCAGCAATCACCTTGGACCACGAAGTGACCTTCGGGCTGGAAGCCAGAAGCAACGGATCAGGAAGACAGAAGAATCTGGGTACTCAATGACTTTGTGTAACAACTGTTCCAGTCCTAGATGTCTACCCTGGGCTTCTATTAAATAAAAACATAAAACCTGGGAGTTTAAGCTTCTGTGTTCAGGCTTCAGTTATTAGCTGCTGAATTTAATGCCAAGCAACACTACAGTAAAATTGAATAAATATCTATTTTAATTGATTGATATTAATTTGATTCATACTAAATTGTTAACTGTGAATAAAGTTATTCTTAGTAACATCATATACAACATTGAGACACATTTTACATCCTTCTTGTTCATTTATATTTATCAAATTTTATTTTATTTTTCACAATTATTCCTAATTTTAAAAAATTATCTTACTATGTGCCTGACATGTTACTGCACAGGTTGGTTTTCTCAGAAAGCAGTCTTTATGAAATGCAAAGGCTATAAAAACAATTCCCAAACTGGACAATTTCAGTATCATAATTAATATTATTTTTCCAAAGAGAAAAATAAAGCACAGTGCAACTATGTCTTAAGTGGCATTCATGAGGAAGGTCAAAGCACAACAAAATACCAGTTTTACTTGTAAGAGAATTCCATAGATTATACCCATGAATCCAGGGGTAGTATTTTAATAATACTCAAACAATTATACTGTATATAGATGTTCTAAGCGGTTTGTACACAAATGGCTACATTAAAACAAATAATTCTTCCCACTTGAAGTCTTCTAACCCCAATACTACTTAAATCTATTTTATAGCCTAGAAATGAAAAAAAATTCAAATAAATTAAGAAGACTACTTTAATTACTATCTATTGAGGCTCAGTAATTATTAGTCATATTGATTTAATATGCAAATCTTAGATAGCAATTATCAGACTCATCTTCTGAAAGGAACAGGGTGCAAAAGCTAACATTGAAATTTAGCCATTCAGTGACTTTTAGGATGCATCAAATACTTAAAAACATACATTTTTAAAGCAGAATTTTATTTAGTGCCTTAAACTCATTTCTGCTTTTCCATGACTAAATTTAAGGTAGATAATAAAATAAACCTGTATTATATCCATTCCAGGCATGAACAATCTTAGTTTATGTTGGCTTTAATTTGGGGGTTATTATCTTGAGGCATGGCATTTTTAAGGGTGTGACAACCAAAAGTCTGTAATGGGAACAAATGTGATTTATTGTTTTCATTTGGAAACTAACCTTATATACAGAGTGGTAAATCTGGTTAAGATTCTACAGAAGTTCTTTTCACAACATTTTGATCGTGACCCACAATGCAAATTATTAAATATATTTTACTCTGTGGCTGAGTACATATTTATACATATCTGAAAATAAAGTTTCACAAACAATACTTTTCTTACCCTAAGTATTGCTCCCTGATGTTCTCTATTCTAGTCTACCCATTACATTTGTTTGCATGTATGATTAGAGCTATACACCAAAACACACTAATCCTATTTAAAAACACTGCTCTAGAATGATTGGAGCTTAGAGGAAATCTAAATCAAACCTTTCAGTTCACAGATAAAGAAACTGAAGTGTCATCTAGAGGGTTAGATACTTTGCCCAAGATAACAGAGGTGTGTATAGCAGAGCCAGATTAGAATTAAGGTCCGTTGGCTCCCTAGCCCAGTATAGGAAAAAAGATAACAACATTAGGAAAGGGATGTCTGTGTTTTTAAAAGTTCAAAATGCAGAAGTGTATGGCTTAGCATATGTACCTGTCACAAAGGTCTTGGCATCTGAATCACTGAAGTTTTTTTATTGATGACTCATTTGGCTTTATTTAGCAGACTTGACTTTAGAAATTCAATCAGGAGTAGTTTATGTGGTAAACTGTCCTTGTAATTAAATAAAACAATCCCTAGAAACTTAATTGAAGAATGCCTGCCCATCAGGAACACCTAGAAGCCACGCTTTGTTGGTCTGTTTAAGCCAAATTTCTGGCACACTGCTCTTTGAAAATCAAATTTAAAATGACAGGCAAGTTGCTCTTAACTTCCTTAAAGGCATGAACAAGTAATTGCAAACCCTCTGATATATAACATGTCACAGAAAAGGCTCATTTTATCAATAGCAACATAATCTGGGAATTTCTAAATTTTTAATTTAGATTTTACTCTAATTAAAGGTATGCAAAAATAGGTGAGGGGAAGGGAAATTAAACAAATGCCTTGGAAAGGAAATGCATTTTGTTAGAATTTTGTTAAAATGTAATGAGTCTATATGTCCTTATATTTTTTATAGGGACCTGACCCTGTCTATGTATAATGCATTTTATGAAGGTAAATGAGAAGGTTCTTAAATCCATTATCTTTTATCCCAATATATGATATCAAGCCGTTATATTTAAATAAACAAATTCATTAAAAACAAAAAAGTTGTTTATTGCATCTAACCACTGCCTGTTCAAAAAGAATGTTAATTATATGCAAATTTACCACTTCAAGAAGAGAATTCATGTAGTATAAAATCACCTTTAGGTAAATAATATTTTTAAATTAAATCACCTCTATGTAATAAAATGGTAGAAAATAAAATAATTGAAAGCTTTAGTGCAGAATATGGCATTTCTTCTGAATTACTCTTTGGAATTTAAGTGTAGTGTCTCGAGAGGCAGAATATTACAGTTGGGAAATCACACATCCAACATTGGCTTTATCACTGTTGCGTGAACTTGAGCAAGTGATTTAACTTGCTCTGAGATACTCAGGAACTATGCATCCCATTTCACTGGTGAGGAAGTTACCTGACTAGCTTGTTAGAAAGAGGGTGTGAGTTAGGCATGACAAGAACCTGGTAGGTTTATTCTGCAGCATTACAGCTTAAGAAAAAGAAGAAGAAAGCAAATGGGAAACCAGTCTCCCTAATGAAAATAAGTAGAGATAAAACCCCAACTAATACAACTTGGGCAAGAATATATTCTAAGAAATTTTATAATTTATAATTATTTAAGACATAATTTATAATGTATATTGATTGTATTTGACATGAGCTTTCTTCCAAGATATGCAATTTTAATATTGATATATATTATTCGAAGGTCAAATACATATGCATTTTTACCAAATATTGTTTTCACATTGATTCAACCACTACTTTCACTGTTTTACTTTCCCTCTTTCAACTATTACTGACTCTTGGTTTTCTCATTTTCGTTTTAGTCAGGCTTCTAATCTTTTAGATTTGGTTCTCTAATCACACAACCAGGTTTATTCCTTGAGGTACAAATGTATACCAAGAATATGGTAGCTCTGTATTTGTTTCATATTTTATTTTTATAACTGCATTTATTTGTATTATTTCATAGGCATTGATATGTCAACATATTTTCTAAAGAACCATTTCCTTTGGAAACATTTGATTATTTAATTAAAATCTTAATTGATAGTGTCTTTTTAGGAAAAAATTAAAAATTGAACTGGGAAGCACATGGAAAAGACTATGCTTTATCCTTTCATGCATGTAATGGAATGATATTTGTCAAGAAAATATATATTTCACATTCAAAAATAATAGATTTATATACATATATATAAACATATGCTGAGTTACACTGGTATGTAATTTTCACAGCTCCTTCACATATAGCAATGCTGCAAAATATAAAATGCAAAGATTCTTTTCATTTTTCTCACAAATGGTGACATCCGCAGTTAACAAAGTTTAGTGTTTGGCACCAAATCACGTTTAAAGAAAAACTGGAGGCATGACTGGAAGTTAAGTATTGAGTTTTGAGTCCAGTCATGCTGCCTAAAAATCATTTTGTTAGTAGATGATGAAAGAATTGGCAATAATAGACCTGCAGACTCTTAAAAAGGCACCGGTTTGGCCAATATGCCTAAATATGTCCATGGGTCTCTTTGTTTTAGCATCCCCACAACAGAGGCTGGTAAGTGTCCCTGGGAATGGACGAGGGCTGCTATGTGAATAAATTCGTATCTCACAGTTGCTGTAGGAAAAATCAAAGATCCAATTACAAAGTCTGGAAGATTTCCTACAATTAGTGGCTATTATATTAGTTTTGCTTATGACATAACACAAAAGACAGGAAAAAAGGGAGAGGAATTGCTGTTTCATTTATTATTTTCTTAATTGCTTTTTTACTAACAGCTTGTTTCTCAAGGAAGCCAAGCCATAATAATTTCATCAATAACATTAACCTGTCATTTCATTCAGGAAATATGAAGAAGATTATAGGTCTTAACGTTGAGAATACTAGGAGATTCTGGTCTCTTATATTGTCTTGTAAGCATACTTGCACAACAACGTGGTCAATACAGAGGAAATGTCACAGACCCATATTTCTCTGTGTGTGGCATAAATAGTTGTCAAAGTATTAAATAATAACTAAGTGATGGTTGTGTATACTATGCTGTTCCAAAGTTGTCTCATGGTAATATTGTACCTGACATTTGGGAAATTATGATGTCCTACAAATAGAGAAAAGATCACACAAACCTACATGAGCACATATGTATAGACTATGTAATACTAATAATGCATTGTATTTACTTTAAAATGGTTTTAATTTATTGGGTACTTTCAGGTTTGTGCAAAAAACACAAGTGATTGCAACTAGTGGTATACCAGTCTATTCAATGGATGCCATATAAAGATGCTCCTGTTTGTTCACTTCTTGATACAAGCATGGCTCCTACAACATGCCAATGGTGAAGTAATGAAGTAACTTTCCTGTCTTTCCTTAAGATGATAATTATAAGATCATGCTTTCAATCCTTATCATTAAATATCCCAAATATCATCGCTTTAAGCATAGTGTTGTTCACTTTTTATTTTTTTAAAGATTAGTCCATTGTAGTCAGAGAAGATTTTTTACTTAATGCTCGGAGTCTCCAATTATTTTTGAGTACTCATTCTTACCAGCAAAATAAAAGTAATAATTATAATAGTAATAATAGAGTATCACCCAATTCATGATTTATACATTTGCAAAATTATAAAGAATCTACATGTGCAACTGTAAACATTATGTACATTAAAAAACACACAAAATGGAACTTTTAAAGACAAAAATGAAAAAAAGCTCTTTCAGAATCTTTCATAGGTGTACATATTCAACTTTGGAGACCACAGATTATGCCTTTCATATACATCCACCGCCAAACCTTCCCTGGAGAACTCAGGCAAACATGTCCCTATCCATTCCTACCTTCATGTTGCAAAAATGCTTTTAGCACATGGAGTGCAAGAGGTTTTAAAACTAGCATTCTTCTAACATCAGATAATTTGGAATGTCTTCTGCATAACATCTTTCTAGAGCCTTTAAAATTAACTAAATAATGTAGTGTAGGTGAAAAGTCTTATTTATATGAAATAATTATAGGGCTGAATTTTCTTGGTAAGGTGAAAAAGTTAACATATACTTTTTTTGTCATGTACTTTGCTAGTTTTACAGGAAAAAAATGATACATTTATGATAACTCCTTCAGAATTCTCATTGATGTTTTATTTCAAAAAGAAAACAAGAAGTAAAGCCTTCTCATATAAAAACCCCAAGCTTTTAGGAGACTTTACATATGTCAATAGACAGATGTCATATGTTATAGAACTGGGAATGTTTGCATTTTCAAAAAAGAAGTTTCTAATTGATAAAAAAACACTTGTCTGTATGCCTTTTCTGGGAAAAAGATAAAGTTAAAAAAATCTTTGCTTTTTTTCCAAGAATTATTCTCTATGTCTCAAAGTCAAGCAAGAGGAAACCTTTGTGTTTGTTTTTTTTTTTTTTTTTTGAATATAGCATAGTATTAGGAATTATGAGGCAGACAGACCTAGGTTTGAATTCCAGTTCTGTGATTTCCTGATTGGGTGTGATGACTTGTCTTTACTTCCCTAAGCCTCATTTACAAAGTGGAGGTGGCAATTATGCCCATCCTCATTATATTATTGTGCATATTACAATAAATAATGTATATCAATTATCTATTTTATGTAGATACTTTATAACGTAAAGTGCTTATAGGGGCTGAAAACAAGAACTATTCAATAAATGTTAAATCTCAAAATGCTAAGGGGCAATTCTATACTTGTGTGAGATAACTCTAGGGTCAAGGAGACTTGTCTGAAAGTATAACATGTCTTTCAATGGAGAAATGCTAAGTGTTCCTATAGGTATCCAACTCATTATATTAGCCACAACAGCATCATATTCCAGTCAACCAAACTAAAGTGGCACAGACAAGTGCTGGATTAAAAGATTATTATATTAACCACATCACAATACCTAGAATAAATGAAGCATCACACTAATACCATATTTTGATATACTTTTAACTTTGTAAATATGTTTATAAATATTTTAAATTTATAAAGGTTCTGTAGTATCTTTTATTTCATTTGCAGCTAAAAACATTACACTGGTGAAAAAGATACCATTAGCTATCACCAAGAAGTCAACACCAATGTGAAATATGAGAAACCACAAAGTCAAGTCTTTGGTGAGATGGCATCTTATGAAACTATGGACTTGTCATTTTTTTACATTAGCTTAGAAAAATGTCCTTCTAGTCATATGTCATTAGAATCATTTAACCCTAATAAGGGCACTGGGACTGCTCAAAACAAACAAACAAACAAAAAACAAAGAAAAAAAAACAACAAAGAAAAACAGAGAATAAATTTCAAGATCTATAGGAGCTGTATAAATAATTACCATACTAGCAATTCATCAGTATGTGTTAGATCTTGGTTGAAAAGCAAAATGAAATTTTCTGCTGCTATTACTTTTCTTTGTGGCACAAATATCTGATTTATTTTGAAACTCCTTTTAGTGATCCTTTTCATGTTTGTTTTCTGGAAAGCCACCTAAAATCCTTTTTGCAAACAGGAAAAAAACAATCAAGACAACAAACTAAGGGATGGAAATTTCCATCACTGATGTCAACAGCCATGCCTTTAAATGAGAAAATCCAAAATATGTGTGAGGAGAAGGTCACTAACCATAAAATACTCTGCCCTGATGTGAAGCAGAAGTGAAAGTCAGAAAGCATTTGAATTACACCCTTTGTTATCTTTGCAAGCAGCTTTTTCTCAAGGCACCAAATGGAAGCTTTGACCACATTTCAGACCTCATAAAATCGATAAATTAGATTTGAGCTGATTTTATTATGAATACACCCCAATTACTCCAGGAGTTAAAATATCACAGCCTCTATGTAAGATTGTCATCTAGTGGCCTCAACAGAAACCTCAGCTAATCATCCATGTGGGAGACCAGCAGGCAAATCGCTGCTATATAACATAAATCTTGATTCAGTGGCACCCAACATTCTTTCTTAGAATCTCTTTTCTTAGAATGTCTTTAGGACATTTCATGACAAAATTAGTACTGACTTGTGGTGTGCCTAACCTAGAAAATTGGCCAGTGATAAGGGAGCTTTTATAAAGCTGTAAAGGCCATCATGAGAGAATATGATTTCTTAAAGTTGGTGGCAGTTGGTTGTGCTATAGAAGAAAACTAATAGTTATCAAGAAGCTACTCTGTGTTAGATATTCTGTAAGGAATGTGATTTTTTTCAGCAACACTAATAATGTGTTCTTATCCTCATTTCAATTTATGGAAAGAGAGATGTTCATTTTGACACTGCTAGAGGTGGCCAGAGGCAGGCTTACACTCAGCTCTGCCTCTTATGAAACTTTCACCATGTTGAGGTTGGGGACTCTTGAAAAAGAGGAACAAATCTAGGAAAAGAGCATAATTGACTGATATAAAGTAAGTTTACAGGAAAGCACAATAGAAATAGTTATTTCAAATCAATAGAGGCATGAAAAACAAACAAAAAACAGGCATATTTGCCAGAAGACCCCACTGAAGGTGAAGGTATTTGTTGCTTTTCTTCTTCCCAAGCTCCCAAAGTTGCCATAATTCATATAAGGATGGTAACCTTAGTTATTTTTCCCTACTCCTACCTCCTCTCCAAATAAAACTAATGGTGCCTACCCTATAGCCTTTTATTTTCATCCCAAGAAAATACCTTTTAATGATAGAAGTTATATCCTGTTAGGAAAAAAAAAGACTATTTAAACATGGACATTATAAATTACATTTTCCAATATTACTGGAAAACAACTGTATCTAGCATCCTTTCTGAATTGGGGAGTATTCTGTACTTAAAATGCCCAGCGTGGAACACATCATAAAATTCTATGTCATTAGTTCTGCTTCCTGGGGTTTATGGGCTAAGAAGCTTCAGTCAATCTCACTTGAAGCAACTAAGATGGAAAAAGATGCTGTATTGAAATATCAATAATGAATGTCTCATCTTCTTGTTCCTCTGGGTCTTT